ATCCAATGGACGCAAACGCGTCGATGAAAGCCGTCGCAGGATTGAAGGCGTCCATCCAACCCAACTCAGAGGCCGAGTAATCCCTAAACCCAGACATTCATTACAAATACACATTATAAGTATATGAGGGTCTATTACCAGGGGAATGTATGGTGATAATTATGAAAGCCTGATATTAATTTTGATATTTAATAATAAAAACTGTCATGTCATGAAATATGTCATGAAATATGTCATGAAATATGTCATGAAATATGTCATGAAAGACGCAGACGTGTGTTGTTCACTAACATATAAATCAGAGTTGAACATTGCTATTCTATACAAACTGACCTAGTCCTGATCTAGTCCTTTAATAGGTGTTACAACCGAAAGAATACTTCACTGAAATACACGATCGGGAGGGCCAATGGAGTGTCTGTTTATGATATAAGTCTCTTTATAAAAAATAAAAACATAATTTATACTAAATCCTATTACATGAAAATTGTAAACTCAATCATTCCAAATAGATAGCAAATTAATTAATATGAAATTACATGAAAAATCTGTTGCGAAATGTTTGTAATTTCTAAAATATTCCTAAAATTATGTAATAATCTAAAATAAATTACTTATTTAAAATTAACGTCTAATTAAACTTTTATTAGCAAATAGTGACTTAATTACGAAACAGATTTCTCTAAAATTTAATTTATTTTCATGTTTAACACATATTAATAAAATACTTTAAGAATAACAATGCTTACCATGGGTTTGGACTCAATTGTGTATTTGTTACACGAATATTGGGTCGACACCAATGAACATATTAAAGATTATCCACTTATTGGCGGAGGACCTGGTTTAATTATATTAATTATGTTATCATGGTTATTGTTTGTCACTAAATTAGGTCCAAATTTTATGAGAAATCGCAAACCATTTGTATTGCGGAAAATAATGATAGCATATAACTTGGTATTAGTTGTGATAAATGCATACTTCATATACACTTCATTCAAATGGTTAGAGTTTGGCCGCAAGTCATGGAACCCAAGACTACCCCCGAGTAACCAATGGTCACAGAAAGCCATCCAAGAGTTGCCCGAAAAAGTTGTTTAATTCAAAGTTATTTGATTTATTGGACACATCATTTTTGTATTGAGAAGAAAGTCAAACCAGGTCTCAATGCTTCACGTCTATCATCATTTTATTGGTATTTATTAATTATATTAAAAATCTCAATTAATTTTACACTATTTTATCTACAGTTCCTATAATGGGTTATCTTGTGGTTAAACAGTGTCCGCAAACATTTGTTGTGGAAATGTTTTGTTTTCTTAACTCCTGTGTCCATTTGACAATGTATTCATATTATCTATTGTCGGCATTTGGACCCCAAATACAGCCCTATTTATGGTGGAAGAGATATATCACACGATTGCAGTTAATACAATTTGCCTTGTTTATTGTCTATGCTTTTTATTGTTGCATAGATGGAGATATGAATAATTATCCAGACTCTGTCAAATTTGTGGGCTATACTCAACCTTTTGTTTTCT